CTTTGAGCGATGGAAATTCGTGTTGCAACAACAATAACATGGAGGAGGAGTAATATATTGTTATGCCATAAGAGGGAAGAGAAAAGGAAATTACACTACTTTCTAAACATGTAGTACTGATGCAACTAATAGTGAAAGCTAGAAATGTGGTATCCCAATTAAAGCCAGGCATCCAACCAACTTCTACTCTTCTCCTTCTCAGTTACTAATACGTCCTTGCAAATCATTGTGCAGATTTGTTTGCTTGCATTGCACACTTGCTCTTATCATTACTTTATTTGATGTTATTTTCAACGTTATCTTGATTTCGCTTACATTTGATTTCGGTTTATAATTTTTCCTTAAACTCGTGAGAACTAGCAAGTCAAAAAAAAAAGATTCTAACTCTCATTACTTTTTCAATGTTAATTCTTATTGGTATCGATTTGTTGGAAGAAAAAAACAAAAGTGAAAAGTCAAATTTTTCTTTTTTCAAAGGAATAGCTGAAAGAATGAATTGTGCTTGATTGGTATTGAAGTAGTTTGAACATGAGCATTTTCACTCATTTTCTTGTTTGTTATCTCTTCAAAATGTTCTCTATGTCATCAAAATTTCCGTTCGGTGGACAGTAGGATAAAGCTAGCACCGACTCTGATGCAAACTTAACGATTGTATCTATAACATATAACAGGAAAAGCGGAGGTTTGTTTCTTCTTTTTTCTCAGCACATTCTTCATTCGTGCCTTAACTAATAGATTGTAGTGATAAATTCCTGTCTGGCATTTTTCATAGTCTCATATATTTATGCGGTCAATTCAAATTGTTTTTATCTTACACATTATAGGAATCCTGAACTGAACCCTTTTTATTACCTTTCAGTTAACCGTAACTTTTCCCAATAATTATCACTTGACTTAATTATTAACTATCGTTTCTATTGCCACTGTCACAACATATTTAGTAGGCATCTCAACCTTTGGTGATGTCTGATGATTTTAGTATTATTTGGAGCTCACAATTTTTTGACTCATATAAATTTATTAAATTAGGTCTCTTGTTTTGCTATAATTCAGTTTTTTCACTATCTCTTTAGCAGTCACTTCCCAAAACGTTTGAGCTGTGCTGTCATTTGACAGTTTGAAAAGTTCTTGTTGCATTACAAAAAAAACCTAGAAGAAAACGATGATCGAAAAATCGTAACTGTATGTAATTAACGCTAATGACTTTTACTCTAAAACATTGTCTTTTTTTCTTCCAAAATTTAATGTTCCTTTTTTCTGTTCAAAATCTTTCTGATTTTCAGTTAGAGGACAGCTATTTCAGTTCGTTTTCAATCTTCCATACAATTTTTGAATGATCCACTGACGTTTAGAGTCTATTCATTTCTTATGTTGCCCTTGATTTGTCAGCTTTATCACAAATTTTTTTGCCCTTTATATTATTTGTTAAGAAAAAGATATTTTCACAGAAATTCTCTACATCTTTTGAAGTAGTACTTGGTGTGTGATGCTAATCAATCACAGCAACAATAACTATGGATTCTTTTTATTGTTATTTCAGGGTTGCTATGACCAACAAATGAAAATTATATTATAACTTAATTTGCTTCTTTTTTATGAAATGTATGCATTTTTATCTTTTATCTGCTCTTTTCCTCAATTTTGCAAATAATCCAATTTTTTTACCATTTTATAAATTAGACATAGCATCATACCGGAAAAAAACTGACATACCGTGAAAGCTATACAAGTTTTGTATGCAATATTTTTTGAAAACCAACTATAACTACTACACTACTTGTAATGCGTTAAAATAATGCTCGATGAGCGCACAAAGTATTGAGTATATTGATACGATAATGAGGAAGCAAATACAGCAAAAATCTCCAACGTGACAGCTTATCTCCGCTGCTATTCGTTTTGTTCACATACCCATTGAGCCGTGAGCTCAATATCAGATAACCAAAGATAGCGGTTCGTACCGATCAAGGAATTCAAGTATCTATTGTTTGTGAATGATCTGAAGATCATTGCGACCCAATGAAGATATCATGAGATCCATGGCCTAAGAAGTTTATTGGTTTTTTGATGTCGTAGAACTAAAATTGAATCAAGAATAGTCAGCAACTAATACCGAGGTATGCGCTGATAAAGCGGCGCTCTTGGAAGGAAGTCAAGAGTATAAGTACTTCGGAATTATGGAAAACAGAGCGTGCTTGTAGACACCGTGCCCATATCCACTATGAGGTCGTCGATTTGGAAGCAGGAGAAGGCTCATATCACTTTAACAATTATTGTAGCCTATCCTAAAAACTAAGTACAACCTCGTAGAAAATCTGACTGTCGAAAACGTATTAGCACCCTAGAAAGCGCTCTTCTATAGTGAAACAAAAGAAAACTCATCATGCAAAGCTATACAAGATTCGGAGAAATAAAATCTCGTGTACAGCTGATTCATCAATATGTCTGCGAGAGAAAAAATAACCATATATATATAATAAATTACTATATGTATATATATAATTTATTTATTTATTGATCGGCTTTGCCGAGCTGTCGAAAGATTGAGCTGTCGATAGCATCACAAAGTAGGAAAGCAGGAAATGGAGCATAAGCGAAAAAAACGGAGCCTGAAATCATAAATGAAAACAAAGGAAAAACAGATGAGGTTGTTGAAAAAAGGTCCGTGAAGAGATGTGGGAAAGCGCTCAACACCGGTACCAGTGGAATTGCGTGCCCGTAGAGTACAGCGAGAGGCAGGAACACGATCGAACGGGAGAATCTAGTCAGAAAAGAGGATTAACTTCCGACCCGCTGCACATAGTAATATATATATAACGTTTGAGCAGAAATAAATGTTCTATGCTATTCATACAAAAATACTTTTCTTTTTTTTGTATACTGAGGAAAAATTGCCAAGAGAAAAAAAGTCCCGTAAATGCTTTTGTTCATGCTAACATCGTCTTTACTTTCTGTTATTTATTAGTTCACTAATTTGTTTGTCTTTTTACTTTAAAACAAACATGTAAGTCAGTACATTCATTAAAAATACGTGGGTTTTTCGATATGAAGCATGGAGACAAAGTACAAAATTCGCAGAAAGTGAAGTTTGTGATATTTCGGATTCTTTTTCTATTCCTTCTTGAGGTAGACATTTTTCATTTACTTATGCCTTAATTATTAATTAGAAGAGTGCAAACAATCCATGCCGATGCGGCTTTCTCCTTGCAGATTTGTTTTAAAAGAATTATCGTCATATTCCTTATCGTCATATTCCTAACTATTTAGTCATATTTTTGAATTAATTTTTCTTGTGAATAACTTTTTGGCGATAGTTTTAATGAAGGCTGACTAAATTACCTTTCACAGAGCGACGGCAGTCAAAAATTTCACCTAAGAACTTTATGGTTTTATATATGGAAATAGTGTAAGTGCTATCATACTCAATGAACCATTCTTCAGAATATTATTGCATTTAACAAGGTTCACATTCCCACATGGCCGTTCCAACAACGACATCAATAAAATTCCCTTTTGATAAGTCAAAATGAAGTAGATTTCTTCTTCATCGATATTTTTCGTTCCTTATTGCCTGCAAGCTATAATCTACTCAACAAGCCAATAATGAAACAGCAGCTAGTTGGAATACATAATAATTATCGCATTTATACGTGTGCAGATGTGGGACGTGTATCTTGCGCATGTTCGGGAATTTCAGTTGAGCGATTTAATTTATAATGCGAACTCATCAAACTACATTGCGTTATGTTTCAGTTTAATGTTGACAGATACATCACATATTTAATCCTTTCGCCATGCGTGAGTGTACTTACATCTATCAAGTGTAAGTAAAGGCCGAATGCCGTATCTACTTTCGTTCATATATTTCTTTCTAGCTATATTTCCCTCTATTTATAGTCCTACTATTATTATTAGTGTGTATCATTCCTTCCATTAAAACAAAATTAAGTCCATAAAATTTTTAATGTACTTTTATGATAGTTATGCAAATATAGCTAATAATTTCCATAATAATTGTGCTTGCTTTTTTATTCAGCTCCGTAGGTCTTAGCTCTTAATTCATGCGATTTTCATTAATATTCAGTGTAGCTTATTTTTATTCTACTTGTCCTCTATCAAATTCAGTTGTTGGTTGATGAGGCAGGACATGGAATGCCATAGGCTTAGTAGGCAGCAGATCATCATATTTTTAATAGACTGTTCTGTGGGAGGTTGAGAGCAAGAAAAGTACAGAATGCATGGAATTTCCAAGTGTATTGCCATTGCTGTCAATTAGAAACCCACATAGCAAAAAACTTTTGAGGGCATTAACCCAAAAGAAACAGATCTCTGCTCGACTCTCTACCACGTTCTAGTTTTCTAGATATAGCTAGCCTTTACTGGTGCTAACAGATATTAGTGAATCGATTTTAGTGCCACAAGGCACTAAAAAATTGAAGAAAGCGAGATTCAACGTTCATATTTTCCTGTCCTTTTCTCTGAAAATCAACAAACGTTCTGAAATTAAAGAGAGAGTATAGAGACTTGAACACCTTCCTAGTAAATAAGAATCAGCTAGAGTCTTGCCTAATCCATTTTTTGTTCCACTGCTTACTTATTTTTTATATTTATCGACATCGGTTAGACTCAGTTTGATGGAATAGTTTTGCAGTTTCTTATTTACATCCATATATTCCTTCGTGTTTTTGTCTTACTATATCTTCTTTCATACTAATAATTTTTGCATTCTATGATATCACTTATTATCATCTAGTAATCATATGAAAATATTTCGATTTCTGTCTCCGTGCCATGAATAATACAAAATTGTTGTGTTTGATTGTTACATGACTGTACGAATTTCACGCAACTAACAATCGGCCTGAAACGAACCGGTAGAACTGTGAATAAGAAATATGTAATATGGACATCTGAAAAAGTACTATTGGGAACGACGGCGGTCTGGAAAGTGAAATAAAACTTTCTGACACGTGAAACGATAATGCAAGCCGCTCAGTTTTATGCTTTTTACCTGCAGTGGTAGCTCAAACGTTCGAAATCGACGCATTGTTATCATTGGACAGGAAAGGATACTTCCAAGGCGCTGCTCAGTCGTTAGTGATCGAAGTGAATTACCACTGTCTAGTGCAAACAGCCAAGACTCAGCATTTTGCCTAGAAACATTTCGGACTGATGTCAGTAGTCCTATTAAGGACAGTAACTGTTTCCAAAATCGCAGCAATTCACGGATTAGTTCACGTACTGAAATTTTGCGACCTGGTCAGTGGACAACCGTTACGCCACACGTGAAGTTTCGAGCACTTACATTAGTTGAACAACAAGAAGTTTTTAGAGCTCAAAAACACGAAGAGTTCTTTCAAAGACCTAAATCCGGTGAGTAAATACTTTTTGTTGCTTACTTTGAACTTAACTGCTTATTCTTATTCCATCTATCCCCAGTGATTTTCCAGATATACTCTTCCTTATTTTGGAAGAACTTAAAAGCAATAATCGAAAAAGTTAAGAAACCAAAAGAATCTAATCAGTCTTCTATTCTACTTCGTTCACTGCATCATAAAATAATAAAGAGTCAATAAGTAATTAAATGAAACTAACGTTTTCAGCTACTTTCAACTGTTAGCAATTTCCATAAATTTTATAGGGTTATTAAAAGGAAGTCCGTTTTACAGCCAGAAAAATAATTAAAAAGCTGGAAGTAAACTTGGTACCTGTAACAAGAATTTGCAGCTATAAAATTAGTATTTCAATTCTTAACATAAAATCCATTTTCTGAAGTCTGATTTCAGATCATTATAAATAGTTGCAGCCCGACCAAAAAAAAAACTGCTTCAAAAAATTACTTTTCCATTCCTCGAAAACTAATATTCACTGATTGTAGGTTATTAATAACTACTAATTTACTTTATTTTTTCCAATACTGTTATATCTTAATTTAATCGCCAAAAAGCTTATGGGTGCCAATGTGATGTGTAGACTGATCAATTTGAAAATTATTAATCGTAATTTTCAGCAACTGTGATAAAAATGGATGAGGGTGCTGACGGAAGTAATGCTAAACAAAATACTGAAATCATTAGTCGTGTTCCAGACAGTCCCGGATCTCGTTCCAACTATGGGGAATTTTATTGGTAACGAATAGTTCAGTTTAGTAATTAAGCTAAGATTACTGCTAAAATCTTTCTTTGGTTAAAATTTTTATATAATAATAATTATTATTATTATATAAAAATTATTATAATTATTGTTATAATTATAATTATAATTATACAAATGTGGAAGCTAGCTTTTATTTTCGCTTTATCGATTCTGGCGCTGGGTCGCATTCCGGCACTCTTGCTGTACTTGTACTGCACTCATATTTGTTCTGCTTATCATGTTTGCTTTATCCTCATGGTATCCATAGCCGTCATCGAATGGGATGATTTCTAGCGTCTTCTTGAGCACTGTCGATTGGATATATGCCTCTACGTGATCAGATATATTGATCTACTTTGCATAGCGTTTGTCAAAATTCGTCATTATCCCATTCCAAGTCATCACATACGGAATTATTTTCGTCCTGCATTTCATCTCTGACCCAAGCTTATTAACAAGTAGGTCATATTTTTGATTTTTCTCGGCCTCGACTGCTGTCAGCCTGTCCTGACCAGTGATGCCAACCTCAATCAGGACTACTTCACGTCGCTTCGTTTCGTGTACCAGGATGTCCGTTCGATTCGCTCTTATCCTAATTGCAGTTCTTATTCGCGTGTCGACTCTGATTTCAACGTTATCATTTGCGACGACCTCCTGAACCCAGCATGGGTGGAAGTGCTATTAGACCATACTTTTTGCAAAGTCCTAAATGATTACAATAGCAGGAATTCATTGTGTCTTCTATAGTATAATCGTGATTTAACATTTTTCCGCACTGCGTTGCTAGATGATCAACCGTCTTCACACATTCCCTACAATATGGGCACATACTTTTCTCAGCTTCAAACATATTTCTGTCTAGGAGATGAAAAAAAGCAGCTCCTTCCAACAATACAGCCTTATCAGCGTATACTTTAGTATTAGTGACTGACTTCGTGTGATTCACCTCTAACCCTACCATTTCAAAGAACTTCTAAACTTCTTCGGCCATAGCTTTCATGATATCCTCGTTGGCCGCAAAGAGCTTGAGATCATCCACAAATAGTAAATGGTTCGTTACATGCACTCCTTGATAGGTGAGAACCTCCACCTTTGGGTATCTGATATTGAGCCTATGGCTCAACAGGACCATGCATAAAACGAACAAGAGGGAGAAAGGCTGCCACTCTGAAGGATTCCCCGCTGTATTTTTCTCTCCATTATGGCTTCTCCATTGCTTTTCAATGTAACCGACCATCTGGAGGGTATGCTTTTCAGAAACCTAACATTCCACATTGGTATGTTGAGCCTTTCGGTACACTTAATCAAATACCTGTGACTAACTGAATCGAACGCTTTTTTAACGTCATACCGCGTGGTGAATAACTGATTTCCATGCTCTCTGCAGACCGCCAGGTTCAAGAGTGCTTGCTGTTTCGCACTTTGAACTTTTCCAACAGTTTCTAATTGGTTATCTCGTGGCAATATCTGGCTCTTGCCACACATTTATTTGGTCGTCAACTTGTAAAGGTTTGACATGCATGTTATTGGCCTGAATTCACGATCTTTGTTTGGGACATCTTTAGGAATCAGATACGTCATGCCTTTGTAGGACCATGAGTCCTGTTACTCCCCATCCCTTAGTTATTTTATGCAGATCTGGATGTATGGAGGTGCACTTCTTAATGAAGAAGTTGTAGACTCCATCAGGGCCCGCCGCCTTTCAGCTGGGCAAACAGGAAACTATCTTCTCAAATTCGGTTTCAGATGGGAAAGTATCATACACTTCAGAGTCTGGAACGAATTCTTCCAGATATTCATTGTGCCGAATATCATCGTCTTCTCCTACTTTCGAATTCCACATTGTGGCTCAGAACTCTCTAATTTCCTCTGTCTCTACATTGTGGCTAACAGGTTGTTCCTCAGTTAGTTTTCTATAAAATCGCCTTCTAAAGAACTAAAATCTGGCGTTTTGAATTTTGAATGCACATCAGGACTCATAACTTTTATTTTATTTTCGTAAACTCCCATGCGTTCTGTCAGCATGCTCAAGGCTTCAAGACAGTCACGTTTGAGAGCAAGCATGAGACTCATGCTTCTCATACACTTTTCGGCCCCCTTCAGATTTTTACATTCAAGTATTTCAGCTGCCAAATATCGCTGTATGAGTGTTTTGTGGATGTCATTTTCACTTCTTTTCTGTTTGCCTTCCACATCGATAGGTTCTTTTCACCCCTTTTCATCCCTTCGTAGCACTGTTGTGCTACCTGGAACTGCTTGCAAGATCACTCATTGACTTGAGGGGGCTCTGTGTGGGGCTCTGTGTGGCATATTCACCCGCTGCTTGGTTTACCGCTCCAATTATAAGCGGGTCAATGTTCCCGAGATTATTTCCTGCGTCCACTTTGTCTGGTCTATCTCACGTACTTTTGCTTCTTGCATCAGCACTAGATATCTTTCTTCACATCTAGATAAACCTTAGACTCGTGTAGCGTATTTTTCTCGAAGTGCGTATCTTGTGCTTCGATACGTTTCGTTGACTTCTCTAAGAACCGTCTCTGCAAATATGGACGTCCTGCGATACTGATGATTGCAGCATGCGCTTGTTCCTTCAGTTCTTGAAGGCTAATCGCGCACACAAACATCGCGCAATACAGGAAACAACACAACGGCCATCCCCCTCTGGCTAGCTGCTTTGTCCAACCTCGATTCCTCGAATGATAATTTCAACCGTAATCATTCTACTGATTCCTGGTTCCGGTAAGCTGGCAGAGCGCTCTCCTACATCTTTCAGCTATTGGCAATGCGCGTTAATCTTTTCTTTCTTCCCTTGTTTGGTCTTTGTTGCTTCAGAAGCGCTGCAACAAGGGGTTGCATAAGCATTGTCGTTATGGTCTGTCACTCCTTTTCACTTTTTGGAAGTCACCTGTGAAGTGGAAGATCCTTCAGAGACTCGTTTCCAGCCATTAGATAACTGATCTATTGGTCTGCTGGAATTGTTGATAGCATTACAATTGATGTCGCAGCTGCTCGCATTGGTATTTCCGCCATTCACTTCCATCGTTGCATCATAACATTGCCGTAACAGACAGAAGTAGAGCAGAGAAAAGAATAGAAACAGAAATCGTTAGAAAATGTAGTGTTTCGTTCAAGAACAGACCCAATCTTTCGTCCACAATTACCTCAGACTTGAGTAATTAAATAAATAAACAAATAAATAAATTAAATAAATAAATTATATATATATATACATGTATATACATTAATTTACT